GGCTGCTTAAATTCACTCCAAGCAGTTGGAATGAAGTTGGGACCTGACAGGTGGAGCTAGGTAAGGGAGCTGGTTCTGTGGGGGGCCCCATGAGAAGGACCCTTCACTGCCTTACACTGCTCTCAGGGGTTACCTTTCATGGGGAAAAAAGGTAAATAGTGCCCCCCCCCCGGACTTGTGCAACGTAAGGCATGTGGACAATGAAATGAGCCACATCTGCTAGCAGTTGTAAATTATTCTCGGTGTTACATCTTCTGATACTGACAGCAGTGGTATCTACAAGGGAACTGGGGTTGTCACTTCCTAGGGCAGAGATGTCAGGCCAAGGCATGGCATCATTTAGACCTGGAAGATGGCAACAAGAGACAGCAGATGAGTAACAAAGAGAACTTGTTCTCAGATCCCCAGGAGAAATAAAAGGACCTTCAGGAACATTTAAGGCAGAATTCCCCTCCATCCACAAAAACACTAGAATGCTTGCTGGTAAAGCAGGTGGTACAGAGATGACTTTGTAATTATTGCATGTACTAGTTTCCTGTGACTGCTGAAACAATTTTGCGTAAATCAGGTGACTCAGAACAACAAATTTATTCTCTCACAGGTCTGAAGGCTGGAAGTCCAAAATGAAGGTGCCAGCAGGGTTGGTGCCTTCTGGAGGCTCTGAGGGGGAGTCCATTCCACGCCCCTCTCCCATCTTCTGATGGCTATGGGCAGTCCTTGGCTTGTAGACACATCACTCCAATCCCTATCTCTCTCATCACAACTTGTCATTGGATTTAGTGTCAACTAGGGTGACCAAAATGATCTCTTCTCAAGATCCTTAACTAAATGACATCTGCAAAGACCCTTTTTCCAAATAAGGTCACATTCACAGGTTCTGGGTAGACATACCTTTTCAGGAGTAGGGGTACCATTCAACCCACTATAGAACATAAATATAGTAATTGTCCATGTTTGTGTTTTGAAGGTAGCTATTGAGGCTCCTATGGTATGAATGATGATTTGGAGGCATTTAAAAGTAATGGTTGTTGAAATAACTGGAGGTTATGAGTACGTGTGTGGGTATATGTGCCAGAAAAAATTTCCAAGATTTAGACGTTGAACCTATAACTCCTAAATCCACAGAATCTCATACTTTTCCCCTTTCAGTCTCTCCTTATCTGAGAGAAGAAAAGTGCAAGAGCAATGAAAAAAATAAAGACAAATTAAAGAAAAAGAGAGGGGGGTGGGGGAGAGGTGAAAAAAGAGAGAGAGAGGAAAGAAAAGGAAAGGATAGAATTCATGTTTTTCTTAGGTTGCTAGTTTATTGATAACTGTATTGTTTAGTTGCAGATTCATTTTCTTTTCTATCATATCTTCTTCTCTAATATGTTGTCTCTGCCTGTCTTTCCTGACCCAAGTAGCTAAACACGGTGAATGCAGAAGCCACAATCACAGTACTCGTCCCAGTACCAAAACCACTCTAGTTATGTGGTCAGGGTTGGAATTCAAGGGCACAGTTAGTGGGGCTACAAGGAGCTCAGCGCCCTCTGTTTTCTCAGGGGCCATGGCTCTCCTGGGTGGTAGTCTTGGTCTGGAAGTTATTCTTTTTCTACTAAGGGGCTGATAGAGGTCTGTTGTTGTTGTTTTTTCCCCTAGAGGCTCTTGCTTGCTTGTGGTTGAATGAAGACTTACTCGATAAGTCATGTGAAGACAGTGTTACTTTATGGTCCTGATTCACTCTTGCTCATTAATTTCTGTGCTTAGAGAGTGGTGATCCCTCAGTATAGTTTGCATTTTTACGGGGTCTAAGTCCTATTAGTACTCTGACCTAAATGTAACACACGCTCCATTCAATACAAGCCACCTTCTATTCTCTAACTGACTCCAAACTATTGACTACAAGTTTGCTAAACCATTCCCATAAGGGTTTCATGTTCATATAGCACCATCAACTCAATCATTATAGCACTTGCCTGGAAACTTTGTTTTGCCCTTGATTGTAAAGCCATTTATTCTCATGTGTTTGCTTGGTATGTCCTGTCTTTAAAAATTTTGTTCAGCTATTTATTTAATAAACATTTTACATGTTGCTGCTGTGTGCCAGGCTCTGCACCAGGTGCCACCTATTCAGAGAGATAAGACATGCCTTGACCTCAAGAGGCTCGTAGATACCTAAGTAGACAGTCATAGTCAATACGACACTGTTAGGGAGAGGCCCTGGGTATAGAGAGTCCACAGCCTTCTTTAGCGTTAAGAGATTTAGAAAAGACTCCTTGGAGTAGGTGATGCTCAAGTGGAGGTTTGGAGAATGAAGAAGAAATATTCAAGTCAGGAGTGGGGAGGGAGGTGCCGGGTACTGTAGGCAGAGAGGATAGCAAGAACAAAGGTGGGGAGGGAGGTGCCGGGTACTGTAGGCAGAGAGGATAGCAAGAACAAAGGTGTGGAGGGAAGCACCCAGCTTGGCATCTTCAGGGTGCAATAAACAACTTCTTTTTTTTTTCTGCAACAGGGAGTGAAAGGAAATGATGACCTGTGAGGTGGACAAAGTTTCCAGAGGCCAGATCTGTGTCTGTGACGCCAAAAAGCTTGAACTCTCTGTTTAAGACCGTGGAAAACACTGAAAGGGATGAGTGGGAAAGGACACGGGCAATTTTGCATTATGGAAAACTCTCCTTGGCTACATGGTTTTGAGGCTAACATTCCGGAGACAGGAAGGGAAGTGTGAAGTGATGCGGGGCTGGATGAAGGCAGTAGTGGCAGAGTTGGAGAGGAAAAGATTAAGATATATACTTAGGAAGTTGGCATGTCTGGCTGGTGGAACCTTTGTGAGGTCTGAAGGAGAGATGGGTCAAGCATGATCGTTAAAAAGAGGCAAAGAGAGAGGAAAGGGGGACTTACTGAGGGAGCATATTCCAAAGCAGGCTGGAGGCGATGGCTCAGGACCAAGGCCAGGAGGTGTGCCCTCAACAGGGGAGCAGGACCGCCTTGGGATCTAGCCTCATCCTTTCTCCTGCCTGGGCCTCTGGTCTTGATATGGGCGGGCTCTGAACTCCAGCTTGGTTTGCCCCCAGAAGCCCCCAGTTCCTGTTCTGGTAAACTCTGAACTACCTTTTTATAACCACATCTTATTTGTTCTGTTTGACTTCAGGGTACAGAATGGGGCTGTGTGAGTAGAAGTTTCAGGACAGTTCAGCTCTTCGTGATCTGATTCTGGCTCTTTGGTGGGAGAGCTACTCAGGGCACAAGGAGGGGGAGATGGCAGAAGGTGGGAGACTCTCTTGCATGTAGTTTATAGCTTTGTGGAGCCAGAGAGCAAGTTACAAATTATGTTTCTGTGAACATGCTAAGGCGTGTGGGAGAAGCATGTCTAAATAGTTGTCAGTGCAAGCTGGGGCTGAAGTGAAAATCGGGAGCTGTGAGCTGAGCCTGGGGTTCAGAGAACCAGGAGAGGCAGGAGCGTGGCACCCTGACCCAGACGACGTAAATGGGAGTGGCAAATACAGGAAGAACCAGAGACTAGTAGGAGGCTTTTGCCATGTCCCTGGCAATGTCATGCGTAGATAGAAAAGATCCTTTGCAAGGTCTAAGATAGCAAGCACATATAGAAAACCTTTCCCGAAGTTGGAGTTGCCCAGTGATAGCAGAAAAGGTCAGTGAGCGTGTCATCCCTGGAATTCTTCAGCAGTCTGGATGACCCCGTGCTGGGGTTATTGGAGAGGGCTCCATGCAGCAAGGCAGTTGTGAATCTCTACCACTTGGAGATGTTCTTATTCTGTGATGTTCCAGGAATGGCTCAGGGTGTGGCCCTTGCAGCATCCTTGGCTATTGCTCAACTCAAATCAGGTGGTTGCAGGAGAATGACGACAGAGATTTGGACCTGGTTTTTCATTGTAACTTGGAGAAAGGAGTTACATCGACTGTACTAAGCTTAAATTCCTTTAAGCGGATATCACTCTAACAGGAAAATAAAATGTTTTGGGTTTGGAATTATGTATTCCAAAGGGACTCTTTTGATGTTTGTTAGAAGTAAAGATTTTCAGCCCTTCTGCCATGTAGGCATTGTTTGACCAGCATTTACGAGCAGCAGTGATTGGAGTAAATGCTATGTTTAAGGAACATTAGTGGGCTTTATTGCAATTTCATAAAGTTAATGAGTTCATTTTGTAGGTCGTTAGAAGGTTTAAATTTTTCAGGGTGTCTCTAAACTCCTGGGAGATGGCTCAGCTAACTTACTGGTTGTATAAGAATGCTTAAACATTAATTCCTTAAGTCATTTGTGTTTGTGTGAACAAGAAAATCTTTAGTGACTCACCTTATCCCATTAATTATTTTGATAAATGTGAAGAATACAGTGAACAATTTGCAATGAGACCAGTGCTTGATTTTGAAGGATTATACATATGGTAATACAAAAAAGAAGCAGACATAAAGTACACAACCAAAGGCAACAAAAACAGGCATAAGCAAAGTATACTGAAAACTGTGCATCCAGAGACTTATTTGGAAGATTAATGCTTTATAGCTAAGCATTAGCTATTTCTTTCTGGTTAACTTGGCACAGAGCAGTGCCACTTCCAAGTGTTATTTATTGTGTTCTCTCAAGATATTACCGTAGTAAGCAATATGAACATATTAAAATTTTATATGTGCTCCACTTCCCGTCCTCAGGATATAGTGTTTTCTTACTAGAACGACATGACGGCCATTGTTGCACTCAGCATTTGGCAGAGATGCAGAGACCCGTGCTTTCTAGTGGATTTACATAATAAAACTCTCATTCAGTGAGAGTTATTGAATTATGGTTCAATGAAGGGGGAAGTACAAGCCTAATTTGATTAGACATTTATATACTTAAATTTTCTGAAGTATGTCTCCTCTGTGTTGCCAATTCCTCTTTTCACTTAGAGGTGGTCTGACCTGTTCTGGAATATAGAGGTGGAGTTGAGACATACTCTTCCTTAAGTATAAGGAAGAAAAGATAAGATAAAAAAAGAAAAAGATTTTATTTTCATAAGCTTGAACATAAGTGTAAGTTTTTGCTGTTCTTCATATGCTCTGTTTTGGACTCTGAGAACCAGTCACTGCCGTTAGAAGTTACATGACTGCCATTAAAAGTTATGTGACTTTCATCTTTTTTATGACCCGTTTACAGCTGGGCGTTCTGTCCTGCTTCATCAGGGTGCTCAGGCCCAGTTCTGCAGTTGTCTGAATGCTTAGCCTCAGCCTACACAGGATTTCTCTCCATGCATGTCCGCTGGCTGGAGTGAGCAGACATCAATCACTCATGTGAAGGCACATTCCCATTCTAAGCTCTTCAACATTTGAGTGGACGATAAGCCTGGAGATATATATACAAGGTAAAAAAGCCCTTAAAAAGGCTTCACAAATATTTGTGGGATTTTTTTTCTTTTGTTTTTGATGATTTTTAGCCTGTAACAGGGAATATTTCCACATGGCTACGTGTTCACTGGGTTTGATCAGTTTGATGGAGTCACCTGATTAGTTGGCATGTTTAAACAGCTTATTAATCCCTTTAAGTACTCGGGAAATTTTGCTTTCTGATCTAAAATGCAAAACAGTAAGTCTCGATCTTCCTCATCTTTGAGCTCATCCAGAATTGTTGAGTATACCCATGGGAAGGGGTGGCAGATTTTAGAGACCATATTTATAAGATGTTAGGGTAAGTAAGGCCATATCTTAGGCCCTTAGAACTCCTTTCCACTTACATTTTTTTCTGGATAAATACTATTTGTTTTATTCGTATTTAACATATTCTATAAAGATAATTAAAAATCCTCAAGTTTCTCCCTAAGCTCCTGCTCCAAAAAGAAGTTTCTACCAAAACCCTCCTTTAGAGCACAGATACTAAAACAAAATGTCTTTTATTTTCTGTTTTATTTGTTTCCAGTTATCAAGCTAACGATTAGTACATCTTAGCTTGGAGATATTAGAGCTAAAAGAGACCTGAGATTTCTCTATCTGTTCTCTCAATTTATCATTAAAGAGCATAGCATGAAGCAAAAGATTAGGCTGATTTCTGTCAAATTACAAGGTCTAGAATTGAACTTGGAGAATGACCATAATTAGAATTCAAAACAGATTTAAGAGGAAAAGTTACACAGTGAGAATGATTCAGCTGGGAAAGGGCTGGTAAGGACACATAATGGTGCTGTCTATATACATGAAAAACTATTTCAGCTCTGCAAGTGGTTTTCAAAAATCGTGGTAATGCCAAAATTGTATTCAACCTATACAGTTCGCAGTGTTTGTCTCTCACTTTCCATGATTTGCATCACTCCAGATCAAACCTCACATTTCAGTCTAGCCCTTTGACAATTATCTGGAAAGTCAAATGGCTCTCAGAGCCTGGGGCCCAGCACAAGCACTACTCACGGTTGAGGCGGATCTAAAGCCATGCCAAGCGAGGTCTGTTTGGGAGAGTAAACAGAGCAAGGGAAGCAAAGTGGGAGGGATGAACTGAGGCGTTAACCAGAAGGCTTACCTGGAAGGAAGAAGGTAGATAAAGATGGAGTGAGTCTCAGGCTCTCCCTCTCTGTATGTCACCTCTCTTCTCTTCCATCAACCAGGTGACTTTCACTTTCACTGCTTCCTTGTAGTTTCTGCTTCCTGAAAACATCAGCTTACATATGGCATCATCTTGCCGTGTTCTCTCTGGCTCTTTTCTGCCACATGACATGTCCTGATGCCCTTTTTAGCTCCTGCCCCTATTACCAGCTGCCTCAACTCTGGATTTCCCAGTGCTGAATTCTGAAGAATGGAATTTTACTGGTTCACGTCATCTTTTCCCACCAGGTCAAAGACTGAAGCCCAGTCTATGGATGGATCACCATATTTTTTTTTTTTTTTTGCGGTACGCAGGACTCTCACTGTTGTGGCCTCTCCCGTTGCGGAGCACAGGCTCCAGGTGCACAGGCTCAGTGGCCATGGCTTACGAGCCCAGCCTCTCCGCGGCATGTGGGATCTTCCCGGATCAGGGCACGAACCCGTGTCCCCTGCATCAGCAGGCGGACTCTCAACCACTGCTCCACCAGGGAAGCCCGGATCACCATATTTTTGAAGGCACAAAACCTGATCCAATTGACTGTGGGTCACTGGGTCACATGGTACAAATGTGGTCATTTATATCACAGGGGCTGTGGGTAGGCATACTCCTTCAGGAGGGCTTGTGGATGGCGGGCCTCAAATCTAGTAATGACTCAGAGGGGACAGGTCAAAGCCACACAGTTATGAATGGCTGGGGGGACTCTTGTTTCCACCCCAAGGCTTTTCCTTTCTGTCTCAGTGCTTCTGCTAAAATAAAGCTGGGTATATCAGAATTCCTCACTTGGCTTTCCAGGGGATGCAAAAGAGCCTTTCCCATATGTATAGATTTTTTAGATGTTGCTCACTTCATAAATGAAATGTCAGGGCAAAACCCCTCATATATAGTGTATAGTATGAAAAATATATGATAGGAAAGCTTAACTGCTGATTTGGGTCTCAATAAACTTGCTTCTTTCTCCTCTCATACTGCAGTGCGATGGGATTAGGACTTCTAAGTGAGGCAGGAGAAGAGGGTGAAAGATGTTTTCTTTTTCCTTCTGGATCTCTCTAGGGGTTGACTAAAGAAGCTTGGGTCACCTTGATGGCATCCTCTAAGCCAGTCTGAGGAGCGTCACGTTCTAAAAATGGCATAGATACTAGAGAAAACATAGCTTCCATTTTCTCAGACACACGTTTCTTGCAGTTTGATAATGCTGCTGGCTGCGATAAGTTCTGTTGATGGAAAATGGGGAAACTGGCTCAAAGTTAAAAGTATGGGGGGTGGGGAGAGGAAGAGGAAGAAATGAGAGCGAGTGTGTGGTGTGTGTGTATGTGTGTGTGTGTATGCGTGTGTGTGTGTACACACGCTGGAGACCTGGGTATTTTATAGACATTCTGACTATCAGAATTCTGACACAGAACATCTGACACAGATTTCTACTCACTATATGTGAAAGAAAAGTTTCTCTTTCCCAGGGATGGTGCTATGTTTTAGAGGGATTTGTACGCAGAATTTATTTCGCTCAACTCCTTCTTTTCATGGGATATTGTTAACTTAACAAAATAGTGTAAAGAGCATTGGACTGAAGTCAGAAGACTTGAATTCTGGTCCTAGATCTGCTACTAACTAGCTGTTTGACCCTGAGAAGTGACTTTACCTGAATTACAGTCTTTTTCTGAGATGAGAAAGGTGGAGTAGATTCCTCACGCAAGGTCCCTCCCCAAGTGCTAAGATTCTGTGATTCTATGAAATCAGACCACTGGAGAAGAATACAGCAGTGTTCTCCTGCATGGGTTATGAGTGGTAATTAGAAGGTTGAAATCTGCTGTAAGATTATTTTTTAGGACTATATTTGTGCTCTGTCTTAGGGGCGTCAGTTTTTCAGGAAGATGATAGAGAGGAACTTTGGGCTAAGCCTCAGTTCACTAGAGCCTGTCCCTAACTCTCCACAGCTATTTGTAATAATTTGAGTTCAGAGTTCTTGGAAAATTTTTTTGTGAGAAAGGATATTTGATACAGAAATTATACATAAGTAGGAAGTTATCACTCAGAATGTATGTGTGGGGAAAAGGGCATGGGGCAGGGAGAAAGAGAAAGAAAAGCACTAGTTTGTCTACGTAGATTATTTAAGAAAAGGGCATCAACTGATAAAAAAACGTTAAGCGTAAGATGGGAGCTTAGATGGTATCTGCTGAAAGTAATCTGTTCTGTAAGTTATAGTCATTTGTCAAGATAGGGACTGAGAGAATAAAGCAGATGGATAGGAAGGATGTTCAGGAAGATACAATTTTCATCCTAGGCAAAGGTCCAACAGATGAGATTGATATTTCAGCCATGGAGTAATCACTTTATTAATAAATGAACCATACCATACCCAAACTTTGAGTGAGACACCTGGGATAGGACAGCTTCAGAGACCACTCTGATTTCATTTATTATTCCCATTATCTGCTAATGAGTCCAGAAATTTCTCAGACCTTTTTTGTCTGAGAAGGTATGGTTTCTTCATCATTATTTCTGAGAGGTTGTTCACTTTCCTCCAGGAAAATAGAGTTTGGAAGAGAAAGAGAAAAAAAAAATTAAAACTTTTTAAGAAGAAAAGGGCCTCTAAATGTGTTTCTCATTTTGTCCTCAAATAACCTTGTCTACCATGGAATCAAGTTGAAACTTAATTAGGTTTTCGAAATTCAAAGAGAAGATAAAGAATGAAAGTTAAGTGTATCAGAAATCATTAGCTCTTTAGGCAAACAATTGTACTCACTAGAAAGGAGGGTGATCTTTCATTTAGATGGAAAGTCAAATTATGAAGGTCATTCACTATGGGATGGCAGTTGCATTAAACATTTAACTGATTCAGCCATGGAGATGTAGAGCAGGTAGACATTCTCAGAGCATTTGTCTTTATTTATCCCTCATTTTCCGTTTAGTCTTTAGCCATAAGCACAACCAGACACATTTTTATAAATTTGTGTATTCTGTATTCATGTAGATCTGGAACATAACCATTTGGCTATCTTATTGACAGAATTTATAAGAAGTCATAAATTTGTTTAAAATTTAAAAATAAACACTTGCATTTTAAATTTAGAAGATGAAAATAAGCCCCCCAAACTCAATTCATCAAGTATCACTTGAGCATTCTACATTTACTTAGAAAGGGAAGATAAGAACTATAAAGGAGAAAATTGGTTGCTTGAAATATTTAATTTGGAGGTGACCTTTATGATATTCTAGATTGGCAATGTAACATCTGAAGGAATTCAAAGTTATAATAATAAAAACTAATTCACTGAGGCCAGACACTGTGCTGAATGTGCTGTAGACATAATGGCATTTAGAGAAAGGGAGATTTACCTGGTGAAGCGGGATTAGTGGGAGAAGGCTGCTTAGGATGGAGAAGTTTTGCTTCCAGTCTTGAAGGAATTGTAGGGTGTGGCTCAACAGGAGTTTGAGGCGCAGCCTTCTGGATCGGGGTATAGGATAAGCCAAGACCTGCAGGCAGGAAGGAAAAGCATATAAAGTATATATGTGGCATGGAAGGGCCCCTGCCCGGGACAGGCTGGAGGGAGGAGTGGTGGGGGGGACTAATGTGGGCACAATTTGTCAGGCTAAGGTTTGCCAATTAACTCTAATTTGGAATAATTTTGCAGTAAATCGTACTGTCTTGTTAATGATGGACTTTTCTCTTCCTTTCTTTTGCTACTAAACTGTCTGTCGTGAAAAATGTGTTAAGAGAGAATGCAGAATAACAACAGTTTTGCTTGTGGTTATGTTGCCCAAGGGATAAAAAACAGGTGATAACTCTAAAAACCC